TCTTCTATACCTGTTCCTCTAATCTGTACACAGACACGTTTCTCCAACAATTGCAAAGAATTTTCACGATGAAAGTAGACGTACCGCTAGCATAATGGGGATTACTTGTCTGAAACGTGTTTTACACGATGTTTACTTAGGTTCGTTTAAGCGTGCTGCCTGGTTTAACTTGGGTATATAACGAAAATACGTGTCTCGATTTGATTCGTGCAGTGTTTCTTATCTTGAAGGGATAAAGACGATAATTATTAACGAGTAAATCAATTGTACAAAATTCCTTGTATATAAGATAACTTTTTCGCACGTTCATTCCTGAGATTAATTATTTTTGCGAGAAAGAACGAAATTCTATTATTGTATCTTTTTTTTTTTTTTCATTCATATCACATGATACGATAAATCGATAAACCCAAAAAACACTTTGCATCAATTTAAGTTAACAATACCAAGTTACATCTCCATAACTTATATCGAATTTTTTCAGAAATCTAATTAATTAAATATTTCATATCGTGTGCATGATACAATAAATCCATAACTCTCACTTGACACGATAAACCAAAACTTTGCACCAAATTAAGATCAATTTAAGTATTTTAATTTTTCCCCATAACCCAGATCGAATAGGATCATTTTTTCCCTAGTCGACGATCCGTAAATAGTCTAGGCATCCCGAACGATTGACCGAAATCAAGGCGCGATAATCGAAGCATACACATAATATCTCCGTGCCCATAACGAAATGGGATTAACGTTCGTCTACCGAAATACTAATCCATTTGTTATACACCGAGCAGTAAAATCTATCCTGGCGAGTGGTTCCAGGCTCATGTTATTTTAGGTGATATCTGAGATAGAAAGAGAGAGAGAGAGAGTGGATGAGAGCGCGCTATAACGGAATATAGAGGTGTAGAGGTAGAGAGAAAGGGAAAAGGGATCTAGAGCGGCATAGGACGGAGGGATAGAGAGAAAGAGAGAGAGAGAGAGAAGTCGTCGTCGTCGTCGTCGTCGCAGGTTGGCCTTAGGCGAAGGGAGCGGCGAGGACCCTCGAAGGTAATCTTGGCTCGTTCGCGGAGGGTTGCATTTTGATCCCCGGAGCTTCTGCCGTGGCACGATCTCCGCGTACCTTGCCTCTGCTCACGCATTTACTATAATTAGAACTCCCTAATTAACGAGCAAACGTCGCACGAGCCTTTCGTAATCTCGGGCTTGACCTTCCACCGTCGTTTAGAGCCTCTCTCTCTCTCTCTCTTCCTCTCTTCTTCTTCCTCCTTTTTTTTCGTTTTCCTCTTTCGTCGTTTCATTTTTTAATCCGGTTTCTTCTCGCTTGAACGGAAGGGAAGAGACGTGCTTGCTAGGGAAGTAATAGGGACGACGAGCGATCATATTTTGTGTGTGAACGGTTCACGAAAATAGAATGGAAACGCGATGGGATAAGTGTGTAGAGAGGGGGAGGGGATGATGTTTCATCCCGATGAATGCAAAAGGATGGATTTTGAAAGAAAATTTCAGGATTAGGATTTTGGAATTTAGAAATTAGATTCATTATTTTTTTCGAAATATTTAGGAAAATTTATCTCGTTGTCTCGATAAGTTTATCAACGATGTTTAACATTTCGAAAATGTAGAAATAGATTGAGAAAATCTCGGGAGGTTTGAACGGTGGAACGAATGATATGTTTGTTTAAATAATAGAAGAAACGAAAGGATCAAGGGGTTCACACGAAACGATCACACGACCGACGATTTCGCTTCCCCCTATTCTAATAGAAAAGACAATTGCGCGAGAAACCCCTCCCACGGGTTGGGATGGGTTGGTGGCGCGTTGTCTTGAAATAACTTTAAAACGTTGAACAAACATTCGAGTGGCATGGCAACATATTGAACAGAAATTAAAAAATAAGCTTCGTAAGCTCACCACTCATATAGATCTGACCTTTTACAAAGAGGGTGGCTTTCTCTCTACATTAAACGGACTGAGAAACCAGATCGACTGGAATAGAGGGTAAATTTCCAACCACCAAGCTCCTACTATTTGATTAAGCACGTACCTTCCGAGCTCCTTTCGTATTTGTCCTTACGAAGAGGAAGGACTCTAATTCAATTAAATTTTTACGACCATCATATTTTTCTAAGACGAAATATTTTTTTCCCGTCATAAATTTAATCCATTATAGAATTATACAATTTCCTAGAGTATATGGAAGAAGAATTTAAAAACGATTAATTATATTTATCATATTGAGAAGAGTTTATTTGTAAATTTATTGAAACGAGAATTTTTATTAAAATTAAAATTAAAAATTAAGATACATTATTTTCTACGTTTTTACTTGCTAAAATGTTAAACGTCAAGTGAAATCACTCGCATCATTCGTTTAATACAGCCTATTTTTGGCTGTCCTTTATAACGTCGTTTGCGGCTTTGTCTTGACAGTACGTAGGTGAATAAAGTCGAGGGAGCAAAAATGGGACCGAAAGGAACGATAAAGCTCGACGGGTGGTGGCAGTGTGCACCGTGCTGATAAATATAACGTAACAAGTTCACTGGAATAACAACTTCATCCCGGAGGGATCAATGAGACTTTGCTGCGACTTTTACGCGGAATTTCCTTTCGAGTAAACGTATGCGCGCGGGAATTGGGAAGATGGTAAATCGATCATTCTTCCGTTTCTGTTACCGTTCATTCGTCAAACCGGTTCGATGATCAAAACACATTCAAAAATTTTATAAACGGATTTCTTTAAAATCCGAATCTCATTTTTGATAAATCATTTTTTATTCTTAATATCTATATAGCATATCTTTAAATATATATATATATTTTTTAAATACAATAAAAAAAGAAGGACGATAAGTGTTATAATTATAATAAAAAGTGGAATTAAAATTTTCAACGAAATTTTAGAAATTTTTCTAAAATAAATAATAAAAGAAGAATGTACAATTTATATTTCGATCCAACGAACGGGTAAAATTCAAATTGCAAAGGATTACTTTAACTCGGAGTAACTTCTAGAATAGACGGTACAAATACGTTAGTTTAAATTGCTGATTAAATTGTTCGATCAACGTTATCGAATCTTCACGACGATCTTCAACCGATCGTTTTCGAGATATTTGTTAAATTGAAAATTACGCCTGATCCGAGCGGAAGTTTTTATTATGCCTTTTCTCAAAATTAATTACGTTCGATGCACCACCAACTCTTTGAATTTGAGAAGCAGAAAGTGGAAATCTTCCATTTCGTTAACGGAGGCAACCGACGAAGGCAACCGTAAAAAGTAAATTAAATAAGAATTAAATACAAATAAAACCGCTCAGCCAAGTAATTGGCTGGTTACCTCGCTCGTTACCCACCACGGTCTCAGATCGCTCCACCCTTATTCTTGCCACTTTCTGTACGCCCCTTAACCGAGAAAGAGAAAAAAGAAAGAATAAAGTCGATAGACATTCGACGTGATGTAATCTACGGGCAGAATTATTTGATTCGTCGTGGAACGAATGGTGTTTATTTAACGGTATAAGTAACGCTTACCTTAAGCGGGAAAAGAGATAAAAGTGTTTAGGTATTTCTTTATAAAAAGTTCTCTTTATAAAAATTCTATATATCTTTTTTTTTTTTTTTTTTTTAATCATAAATAAGCAAAATTCGTGACAAATGTCACGATTGTAATTCAATTTCAGATAAGACAATCCATCGATAACTCGAACCAATGCTAATTAAACTTCTAATCTACGAATGGTACAGGTTGACTAACAAATTTCTTTATTGCATTTATTTACCTGTGATATATAATATCGACAGATAGAGACAAAATTCTTCGAGCAAAGAATACCAAACAAAACTCATGAATTTTTCAATTGCGTTTCTTTATTTTAATCATCAATTAATTTACACAATAACATCTTCTATCTTCAACATTCTTAAATTCTTTCTTCCAACCAATTACTCCGTAACCTCATATTCTACCTATTTCAACAAACAACAAAATATTCGAAACCGAAAATTCTCTATCCAATAGTTACACCATGATACTTAAACAATAATAATCTCGCAGTCGGTTTCCCTTCAATTCTCCTACCAATGTCGTTAAAAAGATAACGAGATCGGGTCTTTGGTAGAATAAAAAAAAAAAAAAAAAGAGAGAAAGAGAGGGAAGAAAAAAGAGAAAAGGAAGGGTAAATAGGCAAGGGTCGAGGAGGAGTTTTCGCCGCGACAATCATGGCCGGATTAGGTGTATGTATAAAGACAGAGCTGCTGGAAGAGGGTGTCAGAGGGGTTGAAACAGGTCAAACAGGGGGAGGGGGCCAAGATAGACGTCTGCACGGGGGTGAAACATAAATGATATTCCATGAGGAGCATATGCGTACGGAGATGACTCCACCTCCGCGGCGTTATGCGGCGAGGGTGGTCGCCACCCCCTGGCAGCGGGGTGCTGGTTTATTACAAACAAGGATTACCCGGGTAATGGGACATTCTGCCCCCTGTTCGACTGCTCGACAGTGAGAACGAACCGTGCACTGACTCACGCTTTCGCTTCTTGTCGAAGGACGGTGTTCGAAGGGGGTGAGGCGGTGGGCGAAGATCGCTTGCCAAGATCTCGGTGACGATGCATTACGATGCCGCGAGATATCTGGTGGACAAATTTGCCGACACGTTGTGGATATTGACGATACGATCGACATCGAGGGTGTCGAGAGTTCGGGGTGATTATATATATCGCCATGATTTTTCAAAATAATTATAGGGATACGTGTTTGACACATTCACCGATGATATGAAAATAGAAAATTATTATATATTTTTTAAATTATTTAACGCGTGGTTATCACATGGTTCTCGAGAGAATGGTTATAAGAAAGATGATTGTTCAACACGTTCAATGACGATACACCGATAATTTTTTTATAAAATATATATTTCTATATTTTTATAAAATACTGCATAATATGTTATATTTTATTTGCATAATATTACTGGTAAAATTTCATGATATTTTATTTGAGGCCCATAATTATTGTGCGTATTTGTTTTGTACGAAGACTTCTCATCTGTATCAGAATAATTTTTTTTTTTAATTTCATAAAAAGAAGGAAGGATTTATTATCATTGATACTTTACCTGATATAATAATAAATATATTCCATTCCAGCAAAATTGTTTTCTGCAATGTATTTTTATCAAAATGCTAAAAATAAAAAAATTGTTTAATAACAAAATGATACAACGTGATTAGATAGATAAATCTTTTCAAAGATTGTATTAACGTAAAATTACTTTTTCTTTTTCGATGTTTAGTAACTTTTTATGACGTCTTAGAAAATAATATATATATATACATAGGAGAAAATAAATCAAATTAAAAAAGAAAAATATATTAAATAAAAACTAAGAAAAATAAAAAATACATAAAACATGTTTAATATCACTGAGAAAAGAAAAAAAGAGGAGAAAGTGTTTGAAACAATTAAGCAATTATTCTAATTGATAAAACGTGTCAAAATGACAGAGTATTCATAAACAGAGAATTCGCGATTGGCTATGATAATCATAAAATCGTTGATTTAATTTCCTCAAATACAATTGTTAGCAGAGCTTTGCTTGCTAGGCTTTCATCTCAAACACTGATATAGATCCATGTTTAAATATTGTTTAAGTACTGTAAAAAGTTCCGTCGATTTTGCGACTGTATCCGGGATTAGATTGAACTGAGTGAGGTGCGGTGATATTTAATTTCACGCTACTCGGATGGACTCGTCTCTCTGGCACAGGGCCATAATAACACTCCGCTTCTTTCACGAACAAGGTCACTGGCTCTTTCATCTCCTCAGGGATGTCCGGCTCTCTGTAAATCTTAATTAATCAGAAGCAAATACGTATTTTAAATTATTTGTTCGATCGAAACAACGAGGAATTGGAAATTTCATCGACGAAAACATTTTATATACGTTCATAAACAGTGGAAATAAAATTATCCCCAATACTTATATTACCTCGACTTTATTCTTTAAAACACGCCACGTTTTCTTTCCCAACGTTTCTGGTTGCACAGGGATATAGGATTTCGGCACGAGAGTGTCTTTGCTATGAATGTATACGGTCGAAAGTGCCAAATCCAAAGAGTCCTCCGGTACCTGTAACGTACGTTTATTCAAATATCGTACGAATTTTAATTTTTCCCTCCCCGAAACGATACATAGCGTTCAGTGTATTAAATTAAATTAAAGAGATTCGTTTTAAACGATATTTGTATTTAGATTTAGAAAATTTTAATCGTAATAAAAACGAACGATTACCTCTTTTCTCTGAAGTCTACAATCTTTTCTTATACTGGTTAACGTGTGATGCGCAAAGAGACGCTCGTACACGTTTAACTTTCTACTCCATTCCAGGTCCTTTGGCGAAACTTTACTACCTAGTACGGGCTTCTTCGTCCACACACCTTCGCGAGGGTATAAATCCGGTAGAGGGTAAGGATTTCGAACATAACTGAGTTCTGCCATTTCGATATGACCTGTAATTACATACGCCTTTGTTTTTTTTCTTTTCTTTTCTTTTTTTTTTTTTTTTTTTTTTTTTTGTATAATAAAACGTGTACAATATAAAATAAATTATAAAATGATCAATTATCGTATATATATATATTACGTTATACGATAAATTGATACATTTAAAAATCTATATAAAATAAACAATATTTACCATCGATGTGAATTACGATACGGAATTTTATTAACTATATTGCATTCGTTAACTCGACAACTTCAATGGAAAGTTGTACAATCGGGATTAAACATCATTTTATTTTCCTCTTATATATATTTATTTATACGAAATCTATATATATATATCTATAACACGAAATGTTGTATATAACATAAATTGTTATAGTCACGTTGCGTTAGAGGATAATATACCTGGATCGGGAAAAATGAAAGGAATTTCGTATTCGTAATGGAACAAGGTCGGTTGGTTGCGTGTTTTGCTCAGGAGGTGGCCGTCCATGACCAACGTCGACGTACGATATTAAACCCGCAGTAATTTATGTTAGCACGAGCGTGCATAATGCTGTTTGTATAAAGCGGCACCGCCACGTGTCGGCTCGTGCCATCGCCACGTATCACTCCTCCCTCAATTTTTGCGTGAACATGTTATGCGATTTTAAATATTTCCTCGATTATCCGATTAAAGGATGAGATGAGTTCCGTTTCGTTGATTGACATTCCGATTTACCGTGAAATTTTTCATTTTCTTTCTTTATCGTATATTTTAACGAAAATCGAGTTAAGATTTCGAGACGCGACTCCTCATTTTACAGGATCGTGATCGTGTAACGTGATCGGTGCGACGTAAATGCGAGTAAACGAAGAATTTTGTTGAAAGTTATGCACGAAATTGGTTCGTATCGAGGACTATCGTACCCTTCGTAGACAAATTCGTATATAACACGTGTAAAAGTTTTTTGTTTCAAAATTGTTCATCGTCGCGGAGATGAGTGGAAATATAATTGGCGCGCGAACAGCAAACAGCTGACTGCCGGATCTAAAAGAGGAAAGGCGGTGTATGAATGGAGGCATTCGGGGGAAATCTCGGTTAAATTTCACAATAAGCTCTTTCACGGCTCCTAAACGTGAAAGCGCTTGTAAGCGACTTTGGGGAGCCTTACGAGACGCCCTTGGAAAACAGGCTGAGCGACTGTAAAGGCGAGAATGAACGAAGGAAGGAAGGAAAGGGAATGGAACGGCCTCGATAAGTGGACACTGGTGTAGAATGATGGGATGCAGACCGCCCGCGTGAATTAAACCAGCCCGTTTATGAATGGATCTGGATCAGAATCGGAATTTTTCGTGTTCGAGTGAACGTTGGAGAGTGAACCGATCCGCTTCGCTCGAACTTCTCATCTCTCGGGACAGGACGTATCGAATACCGGATGTTAATCCTTGACCGTTGGAGGATGAATCGTTGAAGAAAAAGGAGATGAGAATGATTTCCAAGATGCCCAGAATTTTTACGACATTCTTTTACGTTGTTTTTTAACGCGCCATCGGAATTTCGAACTTTTCTAAAAAAAAAAAAAAAAAAAAGTATGAAATACGAAAAAGAATTTTAAATTTACTTCATTTTCATCTGTTTTTTCCTTCTTATGAAAACTTATGAAAAATCAATGATTCTTGATTTCATTCTTGATTCAATGATCGGCTATTCTTTTCCCTATCGGATCTTTCTCTTTATAGAAACGTGTTTAAACGTATAGAACGACATAACATTTTTCTACGAAAAATTGCTTCATAGAGATGGATAATCTGTATACACGAGAAAAGATCGTTTCGCGCGTCATTGGTCGCACGCACGCACGGAGCATCATCCACGAAGCTGTTCTTCAACCGGGTCCAGGCTAGGGTACAGGAACCGACACGCGTAATCGCGTAATCGCATAATCGTGGCGCGTGCTGAAGTTCGGGTTGCGGGAGCTTTGCGTACGTCTACATCGGCGCACGTGCGACATTCAACGCGTTGAATCAACAACGATCGCGAATCACGAACGTAGCCGTGAATACGGGCGGCAAACCCTTGCCAACCGTTTTACGAGATAATTGTTCCGACGAGCTGATCTCCGGTAATAATGTACGAGCAGCAGATAACACACGCCCGCCACCCATTTAAATCAAAGAATCGGAACACCTGAATTATCGTCCGATGAGCTTCGAAACGTCATCCCCCAATGATTATATACGATACGATATCGATATAAAATAAAATTGAATAAGATCGAAAATTTCTAGTAAATTGATTTTTTTTTTCGCTTCGAGTGTTAAAGGCGAAAAAAAAAAGATAATGAAATTAAGATATTGAAATTATATTATAATAAATTAAGATAATGAAATTAGATGGAAAAGAAAAATGGAAAGATCGAATTTTCAAATCAAAAAAAAAAAAAAAAATCAAGATAATTAAAATATCCGACTACCAACGATCCCATATATAATAGATCTTAAATAGATAACGAATATATTTACGTTTCGTGTTTACGTTTTTCCTCTTGAAAATTTTTACAAAAATTTCGCATTAATAATAATAATATGGATGGAAATGGAAGGAAAGGGAAGGAGGGAAGAAGGGCGGATGAGGTTAGAGTCGAGGAGGAGGTGCATAGGGAACATACGGCGGTGGAGAATCCGAAAGAAAAGGGAGAATGTATCCCTTCGAGATAGATAGGTGCGGTCACTGTCAGAGGGGGTTGACAAAGGCTGACCAGGGGTAGAAACATTCAAATGGTAATCGGCGCGCGTCTAACATATACCGACCCTCCGACCCCCGTGCTCGTGCTTAAGGGGGTGCGAGCACCCCCTTGGCATACACCCTGCACATTCGCACCAGAATCAAACCAAATATTGGCAATATCATCCCTGCCATTGCTGTGCACCCTCCTCCCCCCTCTCTCTCTCTCTCTCTCTCTCTCTCCGCGACCTGCCTCCTACACTGGCTGGGAAACGATGTCCATTTGAATGCACGATTCCATTACCGGCGACGATATATCGGGCCGAGGATATTATGGGATTAGGATTTCAAGGGAAAGCTGAAAAGAGAACTCGGTCACAAGGAGATACGATGCGTTTCTGCAACTGAGATGATTGTAACGTGTCGTCGATCTTCCGTTTTGTTCTCATCTCTTTGTTGTTGAAACGAATATATACGTATCGTATATCGAATTTATAAACGTTGGTTGGATAATAATCATAATAAGAATAATAATTTAAAACAAAATAAATTAACCGAATGAATTTATATTGTATCGAGTAAAGTATGGATTTAATAATTTAATAATTTGTCTATTAATTTATTTAATGGCAATATAGCGTGAGATATTTTAATGTGTTAGGAACAATAAACACGATATTCGAGGGGTGGAAAGAATAGATCGTGTAGATCTCACGGCATACCACGCGAGAGAAACGAAAGAAATATTGATACAGCTTTGTTGGAAAAACGTCCAAACAGAGAGGTACAAGCGTCACGCCCCTGATTCTCGTTCTCTCGTGCATTCTGGAAAAAGGAATGCATCTCTACAAAGGGTCATCGAATATCGGATAACGTTGGTCGTTGTTGCGCCATCACTTGTGAAGAATTCTGAATCCTCTCTTCAAAATGGATTTTCGAAATTTCGTGAATCATTTTCGCTTACCAAAAATGCGATAATAATGGACAATCAAGAAAAAAAGATTCAAACAGTTAGAAACTTTATCTTTTTTATTTTTTTCCTTTCGAAATTGCTCGTTTCGAAGAAGAAGCTTCGCACAATAAAGTTTCTTGTGTCGATCGCTGCCTGAGAAATAATACCGTTCATCGAGATCCCATGACCCTTCGCGAATAGAATAATGTCTTACACCCTGCGTGTCCAATTCGATGAAACCAATGGGGAGGATAGGACAGCAGCGCGACAGGTGGCCCGTGAAATCAGTGCACGAGTGCGCCGTTCCATCGAGCCTGCCGTTCGATACGGTTCATTAGGAAATTAAGTGTATAATAATTAGAATTGGGGTGCTGATGGGACACGTTAAACGGACGTTTTTTTCCCCCGTTCCACCAACGCATCCACGCGGTCGAGAATAAATGGGCGGATTTCTAATCACGAGAAATGGATACTCGAAGCTTCAAACCTTTTCTTAAAAATTTTGATATATACATTACGATTATAATGTTTTTAATACTACACTTTTATTCGTTTACTTATTTCTTTTTCTCATCTTTACAAAATAAAAGAAACAAATATAATATATAGCGAAGATCGTAACGTAAAGTATACTTTAACAATTACACTTTATTCAACATTCCTTCTAATCTAATCTTTCTAACCACGAACGCGATACGATACAATAGCAATACGATACTTTATCACCGTGGTTAATAAGAAACGATTAAAATCGATAAACAATTACCTCACCACAATCACAATCATCCCTTCTCTCTCTAACAAAAAAAAAGAAACGAATCAAGAACCCTTCTCGAGAAGGAGCATGACGATGAACGGGATCGAGAGAAGGTCAATACATAGAAAAAATGAAAACGCGTGCGAAACGGAACCGCGAGCAGAACACTGGAGTAACAGGAAAAAAAAAAAAAAAAAAAAAAAAGAACTATACTTCTCCCTCCTGATCCAATCCTCCTCCACGCAAAATATCTCGCCTGGCCGCGAAATGCGCGCTATGCACGCCCGTTGCTGCGCACGCCATTTGCATACCGATGATCGAGCACTCGAGAGGCGGTTGCACATTTTCGCCCGCCGCGTAGCGAGAGGCGCCGGTTGGCTGGCGGGGAGGCGGGGAACACGCCGGTGTATTTTAGCATTTCACGTTTGTTTCCATTTAAATGGTAATCGAGTTCATAATGTAATTGTATTCACCGCGTAAGCCAGGTCTCACCACACAGTACCCCCTCCTCCTCCCTCCCCCTCCCCCCGTTCCCATTGTTTGCATTGTTCTCCTCGCAGCGCGAACAATCCTGGCAGCGCGCGCGCCAGCCTTTCAGCCTCGCGTACCGCCGAAATCTAAACCCCCTTCGCGCCTCTAAAACCTCCCCCTCCCCCGCCCCTACCTACCAGCTAACAGGGCGAGGTGATATTTTCCCGCAGATACGAGCAGCCCAGTTTATGCGATACTGATGGATATCGGTGTATGTGGAACCTCCGATCGGGCTCACACCATGGAAACTCGATGTGTCACTTCGGCTTCGATCCACGCGAGGATATTTCGTGGACATTTCGTTTTAACTGTTGCGTTCTCTCTCTCTTTCTCTCTCTCTCTCTCTTTTTCTTCTTCATATTTTTAGTTTCAGCTTCGTTCCAAGGAATAACGGCGACGGGGGGTGCGTTTGAGAATATTCGACGATGTTACAATAATTTTGGAAATGTTGGATGGAAGAATTTTGATTTTGAATTTTGGCTCGTTCCGATTATTTTCCCTTCGAAATTGATATTATATTCGTATCACATTTATTGTTCGAAAAAATAATTACCCGTGTTAATTCTGACGAATGATACGAAAGGATTTCAGTGGCATCGATACGGCCTGTGTTGCTCGAATTGTAAGAAAATTCAAACCGCAGAGAGTCGATAGATTCACGGAATCGGAATCGTAATGGGGGGGGGGGGGCGTTCGAAAATTCTACGTTAACAAAAGATTTTTCCCCGGAAGAACGCATTGTTATACAGCTCACGGAAGAGTCGCAGAATCCGGTGGAGGTTGAGGCGCGGAGGGGGGTTAGAAACGAGGGAGGGCCCTATCGCAGGCTTGAAACGAGGCTATATATACCTCGAAAACCGAGGGGGAGGGGGAGGGGGGAGTTGGCCGCGTTATTGTAACGCAGGGGATGCCGGGTGTACGTGTACGTGTTAGCCGAGTTGGTTGCCTTTCTCTCATACATATTCATCAAACGCTAATTAATCATCGCCGGGCGCACCCACTGCGAGCCACCCTCTTGGCAGCAGCAGGCAGAAGCCGGTGAAAAAAAAAAAAAAAAAAAANAAAAAAAAAAAAAAAAAAAAAAAAAAAGAAAGAAAAAAAAAATATACGATATCCGCAACGCAGACACCTCTATATATTACGGGCGCGCATCCAGATGTCGAAGCCGGCGAGATTTTTAAATGGAATTGACAACATCGGGAACGATCGCGGTGAATAACAAAAATTTATCGTTGCCTGGAATTGCGACTGTCTGGATTAAATGGGGGTAGGGAGGGGAGGGAGGGAAATTACGAAGCCGGTGATCACCGGTGACGAAATTTTCACCGTACCCCGCTCCACCCCCAATGTTGCACGAGACAGCTCTAGAGGGTTGTGCCATTCGTAGGAAGAAATTAAGGCACGATTACACGGAGACACGGATTCGAAGAATCGTAAGTTAATCTTGTGTTTATGAAATTTTCCCCTCGTTTATTTCTTGTCAATTTTTCGAATAATAATTTCTAAAGTGAGAGCACGTTATATTATAGATTGCCGAAAGTACGAAAGTAAATTTACTTTGCGCGATGGATTTCTCAGATTTTGATTCAATTTTCGAAGAGTTAAGGTTAACGTTGAACGTAATAAAAAAAAAAATTTTTAAACGAATATATAATATCCGATATATTTCTTTGCTATGAACTATATGCGTTTCGCGTTATTGACTTTATCCTCCCTCTTAAACGTGTCGTAAATAGCGCCGCTTGTACGAAGGCAATAAGCGCGCGGGCAATCAATCTAAATTGTAATTTCGTAATCCTATTAAACAGGAGGCCACCTTCGCACGCACTTGGCCCGAGTTCGGGACGCGTATAATTAGGTATCGTTTATTTTACACCGCAGCCTAGGAGGGTGACACTTCCACCGTATATAATATATACGGCTGTTTTGGGGTTCTGGACGGACGTAGACGGTGGCCACGACGTGGTGGTAGAAACGCTTCGTTGCTAATGGCGATGCGATCATCGCCATCTAACCATCGCCCGTTGATATTATGCGCCACGGGAATCCCCTTTTCCTTCCACCCTAAGAGTATTCTTTCCTTACGTTTTCCGATTAACAATGATCGAACACCGAACTCGATCGATAAGAAAAAAATAAGGAACGTTTTTTGAAGGAACGTTAACGCGAATCAAAGATATATAAAGTTGTTTCGTTATTATTTTTATAATAATTTATAATCGAGAAAAATTTCACTCGATAACGATCACTCGATCGCGATCGATAATCGGTGCGATGCGATCTCTGGCGATGGTTCGGGAAAGGAAATTGTCGTTAAAATCGCGTTGGAAAAATCTGGTCGTCGATGTTTTGACTGGCGACATCAAATCGCGACAATGGCAGATTGTCTGCTGACAAATGAGCGGCCCGCCACGGGACAGCGATCCACGCACGAGACATATGGTCCTCTATAAAAAAAAAAAGCGCCAGAGATACAAGAGATGGCCTGCAGTAACAGCATCCAGTCGATCCGATATTAATGGAGACCAAACACCGCACATTCTGTGTCGCCTCTGTCCCCGTTGTGTGTACATATTGGTGCGCCATTATGTCCCTGTTATAATGTGTACACACACCCCCCTTTCGATACAATGGAATGATCTATGATTGTGCCAAACATGGATCGTCAAGTCAATTTTTCGCCCTTCTGCTCTGTCTCTCTTTTTCCTTTTTTTTGCGATCTATCAGCTCATTCGAAGCTATCTTCGCTTCTATTTGGATTGGGAGCGACTTTTATAATTTTTCCAACGTTTTTCATATCTATTTGTAGTTAAATTAGAAATAATGAAATTTTATTTCTTGTTCCAAGTGAACAAAATGAAATTTAAAAACTCATTAATAATTCTAACGCGTGATGGTATATTAATATATTAATATATTAATATTTTCAATTCGAAAAAATGACGACGATATTTCGAAGAACGTTAAAAATGAATTATATTATACAGTCACACAGAATCGATGAGATGTTAATGTTAATGAAACACTCGAGGCGTAAAATGAATAAAATTTCCATCTCGCGGTTTTTAATGATTACGATACCCTTAAATTAGCCGAGATCGAGTCCATGGAACGATTTACGCTTCACGGTTAGATTCGAGTAATTCCAGTTTTCCTGAGCGTGCAAACAATAAAATTGGATTTAGCGACCCTCGTGGCGCGTACGTGGCGTGCGACTCGAAGGGTGAGTTTTCGGAAGGTGGACAAGCACGCCGGTTCCGAGGGAGGGTTGGGAGATCAAAGACGCCCTCCGGCCAATTCCGTAGTTTCCACGTGACATATTAGGTAGAAATTGACGGCGACAGCCTCGAGTAACGACGCACCCGATAAACTTTGATCATTTCACCTGTGGGACTTGTTTCGATTCGTGAATATTATTATCGCCGATATAGGCGCCGATTCGCCATCCGTGATTACGTTGCCACGATGGAAAAGGCGAAGATATTGAGTGATCTTATTGTTATTGACATGATGATCGCGTTTCAGAAAAGGATTATGCTCGTTCTACTGAAGATTAATTTTGGATAAAGGAATATTTTATCAATTTTATTTTATATACGGTTTTATTACTGAATGATAGTTTTGTTTTATATATTCTTGAGTAATTGAATTAATTGACGATCGTGGATTAGAAAATAAATAATAAAGAAATTCTAATAATGTATCAAAATAATTGTAAATGTATTTAATACGTACCTTTTTTAACGGTAAAAACTAACGATACTACTGTTCGATGAATTTACTTAGCAACCTGTGAAGACACTACTTGTTATAAACAGATTCAAAGTTAAATCGATATTATTTCCCATAGAAACAGTTTAAATAGATAGATAGATTAGATCACTACATTTAGCGACAAATAGCGACATCTGTGAGAAGAAAGTTACATTAAACTGAAAAAGGTACAATATACAAAAAATAATTATAAATTTAAGATATTAAAATCATCTTATTATTTTATTTTTAACGTTACCGATTTAGCATAGAATAAAATTGTATTATTAATAATGAAATTTAATCTAAATTTCAATGAAATAATTATAAATTAAAAAATTAAATGGTAAAATAATAAAATATAAATAATATTAAGAATCAAATATATTTTGTAGCCATGTCGAAAGGAAAGACAAGGAAAATAAATAGTAAGACAAAGATAGAGATAAATTAAAAATACTGAAATCAGCGCCATCTCTAGAGTGCCGCAAATGAAACACGTAAAAAAAGAAAGAAAATAATGTAAGAAAGATAGAGATAAAGCAAGAATTGATCGATAGTGCCATCTCTTGAACGTCAAAATTATTTGTCCATACTAGGATAAGGTAGAATAAGAATTGAGAATCAGCGCCATCTCTCCAAATGACATAAAATTAAATATTTTTAAAAATATTTAAGAGATGGCGTTGATCTTCAATTCTTATTTTACCTTATCCTACGATGGAGAAATATTTTTGATATATATATTCAAGGCACTATAAACCAATTCTTGTTTTATTTTCTTATATTATTTGTTTTCTTTATGTATATATTTTATTTATACCATTCTAGAAATTTCAATATTTTTAATTTATCGCTACTTTTATTTTATTATCTGTTTTACTTGTCTATATACTTTCTTTACAAATTTTTTATATTATATTATATATTACGTATCATATATTAATATATAATAATAATAACATATAATGTATTTAAATATATTTAGATATGTATTTAAATATTAATATTATATGTATTTAAATATATTTATATTCTTATATATTGCATAAGCGATATATTTATTTTTAAATTCATTTTCAAAATCTCGTGAAGTTTATGAGGTTAGAATCACTTATAACACTTTAACAATTTTATATTACTTATTAAACCACAATTAACCACAATAAACTACAAATACGATGATGATAGATAAATTTTATAAATGTTTTTGTAAATATTTAATTAATTATTTTTTTATGACATTATATAATTTATATTTTTTGATTAAAAATAAAAATTATTGAATATTAAAAAAAAAAAATGTTTCCGCCCGGGATCGAACCGGGGACCTTCCGCGTGTTAGGCGGATGTGATAACCACTACACCACGGAAACCATTGAAGTATTGTTTTTTTAAGAATAATTTATGGAAAATTTTTAATATAAATATTAAAAATAAAATATAAATATAATATTTATAAATTAACATTTTTTGAATCATGAGCAAGTTAAATACAACAAAACTTTCACACTTCATTTATTTAACATTTTTTTGATTAAAAGTAATTTAGCTAATAAAATTCTTTTTATTTTATTATTATATCATTACGTAAATTTCGTAATTTAAATAATTATTAGATTTACTTCATAATAAAAATACAAAATTCACTATATTTCATATTTAACAAAGAAAAAGAAAAAATATCGTGTCTCGATAATGAAATTTCAAAAATTAAAGTACAAATGTTAAAAATTTTTATTTTTAAAAATGTACAAATTGTACTTTATAATATTATAATTATATATTTTATAATAATAATTCTCAACATCATAATAATATGAATAAGTAAATCGACATAATTGATCTATTTTTAATGAATGGAAAAATCAAAAATCAATATTATTTAAACATTCATTTTTTTTTAATAACATAGATTAAACTATAATAAACTTTAATCTTCTAATTAAAATACATAATTTTTATTTCTAGAAATATCTTTTATGGATTTATCGCACAAAGTTTTTAATACTTTTCATGATAATAATACGTTAAAGTAACATCACTGTTTAGAGTTTTTTTATATGTTTATATTACGTATTATCTACAACAAATCATTGTCCTTCAACTCTCAAATATGGTTGAACTTTGACATTCTGACATACAATTATATTACTTACTTCATGATGTTCAAAATTTAAAAATAAAATATATAATATATAATTTGAAATAATTTGAATATATTAATTTGAAATATCTATCTATTTTGTGTTTGATATTGCATCAATTATAATAATGACAATATTTCTCAAGTTATATTTATGAATTGCAAATAAAGATCATAAATGTTTATAAAAATTGAATAAATATAGGATTGATATATAAAATTATCTTTTTATAGTAAAATTGAAAATTGTAATAAAATAATTAAATATATGATAATATGAAATACAATATTATTACAATATTTAATAATAAAACATGATATTATATCAGTAAACATTTTATTTTTTAATGGTTAATATCGAAACGAACGGTTATTATATCGACAAAATGTAAAACGATAATGCGAACATAAGGAATTTAATGTTATAATATAATTTACTTTTATCTCTTTATATGGATATTTTTTTATTTTAACGGAAATTTACAAAGCAAATCTGAATATAGTTATATAAATTTGAAAATATGTTATGTTTTATAATTTCGAAATTATTGTTTTTTTATTTTTATGTATTAATAATAATAATAATTTTTTAATTATACATATATTTTTAATATTTAATTAGAAATATTAATAATTAGTTATTAATACGATAACGAACAGATTAAAGTTTAATTTTGCATAATATTTTGTATATAAAAATACACTTTTGATATTCGATATAAAATATAACCAAAACGTTTCATTTTAAGATGTCAAATTATCTTTATATTACAATCTACAATACTGTAAGAATATAACAAACACAAAAATTATTTTTATATACTTTTTAATTAAATGAAACAATAAAAATTTCATACAAAATAATTTAATTTAATTCATCATTTGCACTATTCTGTCACAAAGGAATATCGAACATTGCAATCGATCAAAATGTCATTTATCTTAAATTTAATTATTTGTTATCGAATATTATATACATACTTCAGACCCGATAACAATCTTTTTGTTTTGTAAGAAATAATTCTATTATTAATTTTATTTGTTTTAAGTTTATTTTTTTTGTTTATTATAAAATAAATTATATGAAAACACTAAATCACGATGAGAAAAAGAAAACGACACTTTAACTTGATGACAATTCTTTTTTGTATCACGCACTTTTTATGTACACTCCGATAGATGACACTACGAATATTATTTGTTTTAGTGAAAATTAATTCGATAATTTCTAATATGGAACCATAATTATTTTAACTTTTTCCATAAAAAAATGATATGAATATGGATTTCTAATTCAACGAAATTTTAATGATGTCTCACAATTTAAGAATGTAACAATATAAACTTATTCTTGTATCAATGAATAAGGAAGATTCATATCACGTGATAGAATATTATACTCCTATTGGCTATTTAGTATCATAGAAAGAGAGGGAATGAGAAATACATCGGTCAAAGAATACGTATAAACGCTAGAAACAGTCACTTGACAGTAGCGCCTGGTGGACGAATGTTAAGCAATACATCGATAGAATTCTCTAATACGGAACTTTTTACAAGGGTAATTGTACGTCATCTTTGAACAGTATCATTAATACGTATAAGAAAATAACAAAGAAATAATCATTAAATTCTTAAGTTTGTATTGGTACGCTTGTCGCAACGAGATTGAAAAACGGTAAAGATGAACATTTTGATTGCGCTTTGCGCGATCGTTGTTGGTAAGTATTTTGATTATTCTGCATTAATTTAATCCTTTTCTTTGTTTAATTGCGACGTAATTTTATATTGTTTTTTTTATATATTATCTTTATTCTTTCGAAATATATTTTTTATGCTATAATTTTCGAATTTGTCACGCAATATGATTATTGTATCTTGGAATCATAATATTATTGAAATTATTTTTTTTTTTTAAACTAAACTTATTACACTATGAAAAATAACATTAATTTTATTATATTATTATATTATTAGTACATTTTATAATCATTAGTCACATAAGATAGGATTTGCTTATTCAGATGAATCAGATGAATCAGTGCTTAACAATTAAGCATATACTATAGAATAATTTATGATTAGAATATTCTTCTTAAATATATTTTCAAATTGTTATATGTTTCTTTCCAATTATATTATTCTAAATAAAAATATTAAATACATTGTTTTTATATTATTCTTAGAATGTTGTGTTCTAAAAAAATTAATTCATTATATTCAATTTATTTCTATAAATCATTTCTATAATTCATTTCTATAAATCATTTCAATCTATTTCTATCATTCTTATATAATATTTTATAATATTTAAATATATTTATTATATATTTTAGTTTGTAAAGCAGGAGTAGTAATACAAGCTGAGGGTCCAGCAGATCTTCATCTTTTGGGTGAACAAGAATGTACATGGGGACCTTCATATTGGTGTGAAAACATTAAGTAGGTTGAGTTAAATATTATAATATATATATATATATATATTATTAATAATATTATATTGTCATTGATATTTAATTAATTATATTTAATTAACTAAATTTCTATTATATATTATATAATTTTTAGCTTCATAATAGATTTTTTATTAATATTTAATTTTAAATAATAATATAAATAATTTTTCATTCAATAAATTATATATTCAATATATTATTATGAATTAAATTATTATGAATTAAATTAATATTAAATCATTTTGTCATATATAAATATAGAACTGCAAGTGGATGCAATGCAACTAAACATTGCATTGATAAAGTATGGAAACATATGAAAGTACTAAATGATGATGACAGTGTTTGTACTATTTGTAAGGACATGATTCAACAAGCTCATGATCAATTAGAAAGCAATCAAACTCAAGAGGACATAAAGAGCGTTTTCGAAGGAAGCTGTAAACTTATTCATATAAAACCA